TCTATGGTTGTGCTTCAACCAGCAGGAAGTTACTAATACAGGGGCATAGCAAGAGGTATATGAAGTCACAGGATAAAGATAGTACATTTTTCTGTAATGTCAATTCTAAGTGGAACGTTAAAATATTTTTTATATTAAAACAAATATTGATACATGAAAGAATAAAATGTATTATTTGTACTACTTTTTAAGCCAAAATAAATTCAAATATATTTATATATATATATATATAAGCAGCGTTGTGTATAATGCTATGGAAAAAATGAAAAAAAATCTAAATGACCATCATCAGAGAAGCAGTTAAACAAGCCATGGTCATTTGTTCTATGGAACACTAGACAGGAGTGTGGTAGTGGTAGGTCAACATCACCATGAGAAGACCCCCAAGACATACTCTTAAGTAAAAACAATGAACCAAATACAATAGTGTTGAACAACAATATTAAAGCATGGAATCATTTATGGGCAAAAATGCAAACACTATATATTTCTATACACACATATATATGAAATGCCCAGAAAGAGTCTGCAATACACCAAAATGTTAATTCTTATTTTGAGAAAATCCTGGGAATAGGGAAGATGATCGAAGGAGCTTTAAATTTATTTAATTATATTATTGAATCATATTTGGATTCTTTAAAATAAAATGTTCATTTATTAATTGTATACTTAAAATTTTAACATGTTATGTCACATCCAATCTGAGGAATACAATGCATCTATTCAAAAGAATGAAGCAGCTTCACATGCACTAACATGACAAAAAGAAAACTATACACCATATGTATATAAACAATAGGTACAGCCAGAAATCATTTACTGGGGGAAACCAGAAAACTATATATTTCTATAGGCACATACACATGCAGGTAATATATAAAGTTAGGTGTGCAATATACACAACCAAACTGTTATCTGTTGTTACCTGTTAGGGAGAGGCCTATTTATGCAAAAACAAACAAAAAAAACTATGCAAATGTATGTGTGAGTTCAGTACAGTAACACCATGATACTGTATTAACATGGGAATTCATCTATATGTGCTCAGGAGAAAATAAAAAAGAGAGAGATAAAAATTTAAATAGTGCAACCCACCATTCCACACAACAAAATGTGCCCAGGAGTGAACATGAGTTGGCAGATGTGAATTTTCTGTGGTGTACACATCCTGTCAAGTGAAGTGATGCCAAGGTTTAATGATATGCATCTGGTGACAACTCAAGAAATGGTGACCTGTTCCAATCTGGAAGACAAATTGGTTATGAGAAACTTACTAAAAAACAGGATGTCAATCTCCAGTACAGCAATTTCTCCTAAACCTAAAAATTTTCAAGTTATTTTGATGATACATGGTCATACTGTCTGTAGAGCCAAACCTCTATGTAAGATGTAATACCACTATGTCTCTAATACAGTTATATTGATATCTATCTAAATATATGTGTAGATACTGTTCAGTATTGCCCCATACAATAGTGACTGATGTCAATAATGGTCAGTCAGCACAGTAAATGAGCATGATCTTTTATTTTGGTCAGTGGACACTAGCTGCCATATGGAGCCATCCTCACATTGAAAGGAAATATAAAGAGAGTGCTTAAGAGTATAGGAGTATGGACTCTGGAGGCTTAATTGCACAGGTATAAACCCTGGTTCTAGCACTTACTCTTTGTATGAACTCAACAGCTTAACTGTTTGCTTTACCATAACATGCAGTATTATGTATATAGTATTACAATTTTACTACCATTAATTCCCCTTAATATTATCACAATGAGAGAGGCTGCTTGTGTACCAGTTTTGCAACCTTTTGGTAGGATCTCTAACCCCTTTGGGCTTAAATCTCAACTTTCATAAAATGGGAATAATATATTACTTATAAGGATTTTAGATGAGAGAATATACATAAAACACATATTTATTATCTAGTACATGTCAGATACTCTGTTGATTTATCTGCTGAATGGACTGATAACTGACCGCAGAGAAAAGAGGTAGGCAAAAACGCAACCCTTAGGTTGCTTCTGACTCAATTCTCTGAGTCCAAGATATACTTCTTTTGAGTTCTTATTGCAAGGCTGGGATAAGAATGACACATCATGGCACTGAAAAAGTATTCATAACTCCAAGAGTTTTAAATCACTGAAACTAAGATTTTATTAGACAAAAAGAAAAAAAAAGGAAAAGAGATTTGAAGGGAATTCTCTCACACATCAGTCCTTTTGTCTAATTTTCAAACATGCCACCCAGAAAATTTTCTCTAACTCAAATAGGGCTTTCTATAACACTCTCTTCAATACCTACACATTTTACAGTAACACATTTTTACAGTATGAGGATATTGTGACAAAGTTATTGGTGTTATGCTCCTTTGAATATATCATACTGGTACCATAATTAGTTTAATGTGAAGTTAAACTATGAAAATATAGAAAGTTAGCCAGAAACAGCTTGTATATCTTTACAGCATATAAATAATATTTGGTAGGAAAAAAATATATTTGGTAGGAAAAAATTGTTTATATGATATTTTTAATTTCTCAATTTTATCTTCTCAATTTTAAGAAAAAAAAAGATGCATTCTTTACCTAAGGAACAGCTGTGTTAATTAGAACACATTATTTTATTTTTAACATACTGACATTTAAAAGAGCAAAAAAAAATTCTCTGTCCTACCTTGAGTTAACATGTTTATAACATACTATCAAAAGAATTATTTTCCCCAAAACTCTTGGCAAAATTAGTCACACTGAGAATCTAATTCAAAGTATAAGATGTTTAAAGTACATATAATCACCTATGGACTTTAATGTAAAAATATTTTCATTATGAAATGAAAGCAAAAAAAAAAAAGTCACATTCTACACCCATAAATTCACTTCAAATCACATCTACAAAAATAATCCCGCACTCTGGCTAAAGTGAATCATTAGACTGTGTTTAAAATTGTTTCACTGACTTAGTTACAACAAAGCTTAGAAAGATATTTTTTAATACATTGCATACATGACTTCTTTATTTTGATGTATTCAGTCTATTTTAGTTCTACAGTATGTCTCTATTTTTAAGAAACAGTTACTATAGCTATATTCAAAACATTAGGTTTGCCGGTGGTTGATATGACTTCCAGAAAGAAGCAGGGAATGTTCTAGCCTCAACTCCAGATGTTAAGTACTTTTTTAGTTAAGTACTAAACTACATATTAATGAACTTTTGCCCCAGTCTTCCACCTTCATAGGTTTATCTCCTTAAAAAGAGAAAATGTAACAACATAAGCTATTTCATATGCCTCAAGCATACTTTTTATCAAAATTATTAAAAAATAATGATATAGGCCACAAAGGCTTAGAGATTATCCATGATACAATAGATTCAAGGAGTTCTGAATCAGGTTTGAATCATAGTAGGCTAAGTAAATCCACAACCCACTTGTGGTTATTTCTCTAGTTCCTTAATGTATAACTTGAATTTGACAAATGGCACAATCTCCACTACTGATTCTCAGATTCATGGATTGAGGATCATTATGGCAGAAATGATGAAGTAGAAGCCCCTACAGTTTCTTCTCTTCACCAAGTTATTTTTAAAAGGCAAAACCACAGAGATGGGTGTCACCACCAAAAACTCAAAAGATGACAAGATGGTGAGAGCTATCACATGCCATTTAACTTGCCTGTTTGGTCTACATATAAGGTAAATGGATCTGGAGAATGACTGTGATTATCATAAATGCAGACAAGTACATTTCATGAACCTTGTGAACTATGCTGCTACCTCCAATTGCAGCTGATATTCCAGATGCAGTATTTTTACTGGAACAAATCAATGTAACTCCTGTAACCTAATAATCACATGTTTTTTTTCTCTATATTAATTTGCAAAGAATCTGAGGAACACTTTGCTTTTACATGGCAAGGTTAAGAGTACACTATGAGTCTTGCCTCCTGCTCTCTAACAAAGTCCACAGAGATTTTGATCATACTGAGACTCCATACAACATCACACTGGCTCACCACACTAAAGACATTATACTGACTGTATCTCTGGGCAGGAAGTAGCCAGTATTTTAGATATGACACATGCAAACCAGAAAGTGGGAAGTTAAACCCCACTCCTAGGTTTCTATACCAGTCAGAGTCCGGTCAGGAAACAGAAAATACATAGTTATTTTAGTAGAGAATTTAATATAAAGTAAGTAGGTTAAAACATAGATTTTTTAAAAAGTAGATATAAAATTATTAACTAGATTGCTGAAAAGGTAAAAAGTAAATACTACAGTATCATAGAGGTATCAACAGCAGAAAGCAGGCACCACTACTTGATAGCTGGAAATCATTAAAAGTTAGAAACTTGGAGGAAAAGCACTTTAGAGCCAAAACTGAGACTCCTGAGAGGAGACACTGCTCAGCCAGTGCTCTAGCCCAGCTCACCCACTGTACAAAGAAATATCCCAAGCTACCTAGTTCGCAGTCGAGTTTAAACTAAACACAGGTCTCCGGGCTTCATGAGTTCTTTCTACCAGATCACACTCCCTGACCAACATTTCATGTCAGGTCACTCAAATATTCTAACTTCCTTTTCAGTTAAAAAACATGGAAGGCAATTTAAGTAAGATTCTCTAAACACACAGAAGTAAATTATGGACTCTCATTTCTGAAACGTTTTCCACTCCACAGTGGGCAGAACCTTTTTAAAGCATCAAATAATAAAGGGAGATTTAGGGTACCATGAATGTTCTATATTTAACTGGATGTTGATTACTTAAGTGTTCACTGCGAAAATTCATTAAGCTATACATTTATGACTTTTGCACTTTTCTGTATGTTTTAATATGACAATCCATAAAGATAGCAAAACTATGCTGCTACCTTTTCCAGAATCCCCAGGACTGATAAATTCTTGACTTATTAATCCTTTCATCTTCCACAAATAGAAGAAGGGACAATGACAAACTTTATTCCTGACAAAGTAGAAAATGACAGGTGATATGGAAACGACAGAAATCCTGAGAGAATATAACCGAGCCAAATGATAACTTGTTGAGAAATTGCTAAATGTTGAGAAATCAGGAACATTAAAGGGCACTGCAAAAAGAGAGCACAGAATAGTTGAAAATCTCAGAATTAGCCCAAGAACTAGCTCCATAATCTACTGAACTGTATGATTTAGGAAGATTATTTTATTACTCTAAGACTATTCCTCATTTATAAGATGAGTTTAGTAATACCTACCTTAAAGGGACATGTAAGGATCAGAATTAAGATACTGTAATGTTTTGCATGTATCTGAAATAAAGGAGTATGATTATTGTATAGGAAAGGTAGCGCAATCTTTGTGACTCAATCAAAAGAAGAAGACAACGACACCAGCCCTTTGCGTTTCTTTAGGGCTATAACAGTGTCCTTCATCTTGGTATCTTCAACATCTAATATAGTACCTGATATGCAGTCGTTTCAATGAATATTTGCTTAATTGAACTACATGTGATTTGAAAGAGGCTAGCAAAATAGTAGTAGGGGAATTAAGAGTAATATAATAGATTGTGTGGGTAAAAATGAAGTGAAAATAACTTTAGATTAAATTTTCAATAAGTCTTACAAAAAATAGCAATAGAATATGAATGCAGGCTTCAAGAAATGTGTTTATTTTAATGAAGATTTAAATAAAAAAGAGAAGACAGATGAAAAATGTAAGGTAAAAACGATTAAAATCGATGATGTAAACTTTCTGTTAAAATGGCTCCTAACAGAGAGCAGAAAAAAAAAATGGCATAGATGATAGAGGCTCTGTTCATCCCTCTGGCGATCAAATCAAAGTTGTAACAGAAACAAGGAGCAGCAGCAAGGAAAAATCGCCTGGGATCTAGAAGAACAAGCCATACAACTAGGGAGAAGTCCAAGAAAGCACCCTGCAACAGCAGAAGAAAGGATGGGGCGAGGACATAGGGCTGCCCGGTCCCGAGCGGCTGAATAAGATGGAGGCTGCGGCAGCGGCAGCGGCAGCCACCTCTTAAAGGGGCCGCGTCCTCCAGCAGATTTTCCTGGTGACGGACCTGCTCACTCTGAACACCAGTGCTGATTCAGCTGTGGGCAGGGGGCACCAGGGACTTACAGGGAGACATTGTCGCACTGAGGGCCAAGGCGAGACTCGCTCTGTACAGAAGTGCCAGCAGTGTCCATTGCTCCCTGCTGAGCCCTCCCCACGCCCAGTGTGCAGACACAGCGCCACAATAGCCATGACATCATCAAACTGGGTAACAGAGGTCTCTCTGCCCAGAGGATTCCCTGAAAAGCCGCCTCCCCCAACTCGCGGCCCCCACCCAAGCCACATTCAGGTGTGTATCCTCAGCGAGTCAGCGAGTCAGATGCTCCTTGCTGAGACTCACACTGGTGGTGAGATCACAGCTGGCTTCGGTTTCTGGTGTGGCCTTTTGAGGTAACTATAAGCACAGCATCTGTGGATTGCTTGCTAAATCTTAACAGGTGGCCCCAGAGGGGTCGAGGCTTGGGCTAAGTTTGGCCTGCAGCTGAACGCCTCTCAGGACTGTGCCACTGGACACCTACTTCACAAATCCACACTATTAAGACTGGGAGACTTAGGAGCTTTGCTTAGTACATAGAAGCAGATATGGAAAGGCAGCCAAAATGGGAAGACAAAGAAACAGAAACCACATGAGAGAACAGAACGGAGATCCAGATATAATGGAGTCAGTAATCTATCAGACGCAGAGTTCAAAACATTGGTTATTAAGATGCTCAACGAACTTTGGGAAGTGTAAATAAATTCAGTGAGAACTTCAACAAAGAGATTAAAAAAACATAAAAATGAAAGTGAAAATTATAAAAGAGAACCAGTCTGAAAAGAATACATTATCTAAGATGAGAAATATATTAAATGGAATAAACAAAAAAATAAACAAAGTGAATAAAGAAGAGGAACAGATGCCCTATCTAGAGGATGGGAATGCCAAGGACACAATCAGAAAGGCAAGAGATAAGATACCAAAACTATAAAAATAATTTAAGGAGCATAAGGGACACTATTAAGGGTCCAAATATCCATCTGATCGGCATAACTGAAGAAAATCAATATGTTGAACGGCTGTTCGAAGAAATAATGATGGAAAACTTCCCTAACCTGGTGAAGGAAATGGACATAAAACCCCAGGAAGCTCAGAGAATTCCAAAAATCAGGGATCCAAAGAGGCCCACACCAAGACACATCATAATTAAAATATCAAAGGTTAAATACAAAGAAAGATTATTAAAAGCAGCAAGGGAAAAACAGTTACTTATAAGGGAAAATCCATAAGACTGGCAGCTAATTTCTCAAAAGAAACTATGCAGGACAGAAAGGCTTGGCAAAAAAATATTCAACAGGATAAAGACCCAGGATCTACAACCAAGAATAATTTATCCAGCAAAGATATCATTTAGAGTTGAAGGACAGATAAAGAGCTTCCCAGACAAAAATAAGCTAAAGGAATTTATCACCACCAAGCCAGTATTACAGGAAATGTTGGAGGAACTTCTTTAAGAAGAAAAAACATGTATCAAAAATGACCTAGAAGGTATTTAAGTCAGACAGAGAAAGATAAACACTATATGATTTCACTTATATGCAGAAGCTAAGGAATTAAAAGAACAAATTAATCAAAAACAGACTCACAAATATAGTGGACAATTTGGTGTCAGACAGAGGGAGAGGGGTTCGGGGGGACTGGGAGAATGGGGTGAAAGGCTAAAGAAGTACAAATTAGTAGCTGATGGATGGTCACAGGGATGGGGAGCACGGCATAGGGAATATAGTTAGCATTAATACATTGTCTAAGTGGAGGATCAGGGGAGGGAGGGAACAATTAGGGAGATTGTTTTACTAACTATATAGATGTCTAACCAATGTACTTGAAACTAAATTAAAAAAAAATTTTTTAAATGGCTCCTAATAGCTCCCAAAGCTGTATTTTCCAACTTCCTAATAAAATGCCCAGGAAAATAGAAATTAAACAAAACAAAACAAAACAAAGACCTATACTATTAGCCAAAACTGAAAACATAGACAATCAGATGCCAGGGTTCAGGAGGAACTAAAGTTAATTATGAGATAAATGGAGGTAAACTAAGAAATAAAAAACAATCCAATTTTTTAAATATCCTGAAATCTTTGCTTATGAAGCACAAATCACACGGAAAAGGAAAGGAGGATGGGGAGGGGTGGGGGAAGAGGGGGACCATCATCTTTCCTTGCATGTGAAGGCCTACAACCTGAACCAAATTAAAAAGGGATGGTATCCTTATCCATATCACAAATAAAAAGAGTTAATCTCCCTTTACTCTGTTGCCTCTGTTAGCATTTTTTAAGATCTAGGCAGAGACTACAAATAGTAAGACATAAATGGTAGGAAAATGGGTAGTAAGATATTGGAAGTGGTAGAGTACATTCCAAGAGTCAGAAACTCAAGGAGTAACATGCTTGAGAGGATAAAGAACCCTGGTAGCAGTACATAAGTACATAGTTTTATTGTACTATAAGTCTGCGTTCTATACAACCAATCACGGGGATAGAAAAAGTTGCCAATTTTAAGTAAAAATTTATATAATGTATTAGAAAATCAAAATCCCTAATGAATTAAAATACATCAGACAAGTAGAGTTTATTCCAAGAATGTAGATGAGTCATTATTTAAAATGCATTATATTACATTTTAGAGAGAAAAAACAACATGATCAACTCAATAGATTTATAGAAGAGAAAATACAAATGGCCAATAAACTTAAGTAAAAACTCGTTATTAACCATGACAGATACAAATAAAAACTACATTTTCTGACCATTAGAATGACAAGGTATTTTAAGATTGATAAAAGCCAATACTGTGGAATTTAGTCTAACACTTTTGGTAAAAGCTTAAATAGGTATAGTATACTAGTTTGTGTTAATTCTATCCCTTTTACCTGTTGCAAGTACTGGTACTGGAATATAAAATATTTTTCACACCATGTGCAATACTGCGACAGCATTCAATTAGTACAGTGAGTCTCAAATTTTTTTGGTCTCAGGACTTCTCTGCACCCCTAAACATTAGTGAGCAGATCAACAGTTGCCTGGGGCTGGGGGAAGGCTGAAACAGCAGAAGGGAATCTGGGGTGGATGATGAAACTGTTCTATATCTTGATTGTGGGGGTGGTTACATGATTATATGTGCTCATTCAAAAATGAAGAACTTTATAGTAAAAAAGTGAATATAAGTAAATTAAACCTTTAAAAAGCCTGACAAAAAAAATTCTTGAAGACCCCAAAGATCTTTTGCTTATATGGGTTGCATGTATCAAAATTAGACTAGTATAAATTATAACTGGGGAAATTTTTAGAGTTCTTTATGCATTCATTTCAAAAATAATAAATGCACTAAATGTTAACATAAATAATGTATTCATTATGAAAACTACTTTCCAAAGCAAAAACCATTTAGTGAGAAAAGCCACACTGTTTTATATTTTAGCAAATCTCTTTAAGGTTTGGCTTTAAACAGAAAACAGCTGGATTCTCATATCTGCTTCTACATTCAATCTATTATAGTATCCCAAGTCATATAGCCCCTGGAAAACTCCACTGTACACTTGTGAGAAAATGAGTGTGAAAAAGACAAATAACATCTACATATTATTATGAAAATAATTTTGACCTGCAAGTGACAGGAACCCCAGGGGTTCCTGGACCACACTTTGAGAACCTCGGATTTAGCCTACACAAGGAAATATCAGTTTCTGAATATGACATGAGAAAATGTACTTCTTTTCAAATCAAGGAAGCAATAGCTTATACAGATGATCTGTCCTGATTTAATGCAATAATATTCCCCTTATCCAAGTCAACTCTTCTACCAACAATGACTTAGACTGGGCTACAAACTTCAATGCAAATAAAAAATATTTTTGAGGTACAAAGTTTTTAAAAAAACAGTAGTCCATAACAAGTACAGCATTATCCGGAGCTCTCATTCATCAACTTTCTGTAGAACAAGGAAGATTAAAGGCAGCATAAACACACAGGAAGTAGACAAAGAAAACAAACGTCTGACCTCACAAAAAGAGGCAATTCAAAAAATGAAAAGGCTGGTAAAGTAACTGCACAAGTAAAGCAATATTAGAGCAAACATATCCTGAATGTAAAATACAAGAAAATATGAATATTAATCCTTGATCCTACAGTGAAAAGAACTCAAAACGCTGTATATTAACACTACATCCCCATTCTACAGATAGTAAAACTATGCCAAATGACTCACTCTTGTATAATGTCACTCACAAACCGAAAATAGAAATCCAGTCTCTTCTCGATAATCGTTTTGTCTAACATGCTAAGCAAGGTGGTAGCACACTCCGTTAAAGGGAATACAGGCATATCTCGGAGATATTGCTGTTCGGTTCCAGATCACAGCAATAAAAAGAGTATGGCAATCATGTGAGTGGTAAACTTTTTGCTGGTGAGGAGCGTTTTGTGTTTTTTTCTTTTTGGTTAAAAAACCCCGCCATATCTGTGAAGCCCAGTGAAGCAAAGCTCAATAAAAGAGGGTATGCCTGATGGATGTGCCTACTTGAGACTTTTTAAGTGTTTATACAACTTTCATTACTGGAGAGCAGTGCATAACTATTCATTACTCCAAGCGACTAAGTCAGACTTGCTGTCTCTGGGAGCTTTGTTCCTTGGTGACTTTTAAATACTTTGCAAGGAAGTGGTGGCACCCCAGGGAGACCGCGCAACTCCTGGTCAGGCACCCGCAGTACCCTGGCTCCGCAGGCTGCAGCGCCTCCCACTCACCAGTCCGGGGAGTCCTTCCCGAGGTTTGTAGGGCCAGCCCCAGGCGTCGCGGACCTCAGGTCGCAACTCCTTTGGCGAGTACTGGGGCCACCTCCCTTCCCGGCCTCAGTTTCCCCATGTGTACTGAACGGGTCAGTGGAGCCGGCTCTTGACACCCCTCTAGCTTGACATGACTTTCTAGGGCAGAGGTTAGCTCGGCCGCTCAGCCGGCTCAGGCCATCCTCACCGTGAAGGGGACCCTGAGGTGGCCAGTCTGCGGCGCCCCGAACTCACCCGACTGACGCTTCAGCGCCATCAAGGATACCAGGTAGTGGGCGATGTCAAAAAAGGGGAACATAGACGTGCGAGCAAAGGCAAGGGTCAGCTCATCCCACGGAGAGGCCATGACGACGACCTACCACCACCACCGGAGGTGCCCAGGCGACGGGTTCACGGCTTGCGCGGTGAGGGGTGGGGGAGGAGCGGCCGCGGCCGCGCGCTCTTCTGCGCGCC